AGAGTGAATGGGCCCTTCTGAACGGTGCCTCTGCTGGAAGAAGTGTTGTCCCTCCTGCTGCCTCCCCATCCAGCAAGCAATTGGGGCGCTTACACATTTGCTGCCATCCCACTGCTCCTATATGAGGTCTTTTCCCTCTGCTCTGCCTAAACTCATTGGGGCAGGTACTCTTACTGCACGTGGCCCAGCTGGTCCTGTTCCCATTTGTAATTCCATTTATAAAGCGCTGCTCTTTTATCGATTACAAATCTGCTTGGGCTATAGCTGCTACTCAGCATTGCCCACAGACTCCTTTTATTGAAGGGTAAAGGCCAAGTGGTTGCCGGGAAGTGACGCTCCTGAGGGTTTAAGTATCATTTTACTCCTTATACAGGAGGATGTTTTGAGGCACTGAAAAGACTGAGCGAAGGGATCGATCCACCCTAGGCTACAGCCAAATTAGCAATAAAGCTGGGAATAAATACTAGCTGTCCATTCTCCCAGCATGCCTCACGGTAACACACACCTCCTCTTTCCACAGCCTCCTGCCCTACAAAGCTAAATACACATTTGACTGCGGCCACGCTTATTTCCCCAGCAACACACGCTGGTAACTCGATGGTGCCTTACTGGTTTTAATGCCCTACCTGCCTCTTCCTTTTGCCTTCAGAGATGGACATCTGCTCGTTTCCCTGCCAAGAGCCCGACCTCACGAGGCAGACACCCAGCCCGGGTTGGACCCCCGCCCGGCAGCATTTCTGTTCCGAGCGAGCGTGCGGCTGCCGAGGGCTTTGCGCTGCGCTGGCTGTTAGTGAAGGCGGCTGGGCTGTGCTCCGCAGTGCGCTGGGCTAATCTCACACTGCCCTCCCGTTGCAGAGGTTTGTTTGCTGGGATGTTTTGCCTCGTTGCTTGGGTGGCTGTGGTTTTGGAAACCATGCTGATTGTGAAGTTTCTTGGGAACATGAGAGCATGCGATTGGCATTTTCTGCGTGGGTCTCTAAAGCCGGGCTGGGACAGGCTGCCCGGGAACCCGTGGTAAAATCCCAAACACCTACGGTGGGAAAATGACCAGATAGCTGGTGCTGGGTGATTTAAACCTGTGTGGTGCCTTTCAGTGCAGGGAGGTCTGTGCTGAAGGATATTCTCTCTTGTTATTTTGTGTCTTTTTCTGGATTTTTGGTTTTGGGGTTGTTTTGGGTTTGGGGTTTTTTTTAATCATATGCACATAAAGGACTGAACTTAATTGCACAAGGAAAAACTGCCTTACTGTCCAACTTCTCTTTCTAAACAGTATTTTGGTGGGGCCTAAAATACATCTTAAGTTAAAGAACAAAACTATCTCTAAAGCACAGAGTAAAAAAATAGTTACCTATGCTGTTATTGGATGAAAAAGGAACTACTTACAGAAAGTCATACAATACAGGTGTTTAAATATGACCTTAATTATACTGTACAATTAAAGCCCATCCATTTTTGTTCATGCAGTTACAGTGGTATCGAAGTACACACGGGTATAAACAACTCACTTCCATCCCAAGCAATAACAGAAAACACATTTATGTTGGCAAGAACGCTTTGCCAAAACGACCGTTTCAAAACAACAGCAGCACGTGCCTTGTGGCTGCTGTTCTGCCCAACAGACAATGTATAAACCAGACCAACTCGGCAGTTCTGCAGGGGCAAAGCTGTATGAATCCCCCAGCCCGAGCCCAGTGTCTATACAGGCTTCCCAAAGAGCCAACGTTTTGCTTTATACTAGTGTAACTGAAGGTACAAAGTAAAAGGTGATGGAGGGACAGGCCCCGGGACCTGCAAACGCACTGCCCTGTGCTCACGGACTGGGTTCCCCTTCCCCTCCTGCCCGGAGAACACACCGGCTGGGCATGGATTGCTGCCCAGGTCATCTAGCGGGCGACTGCCTGGTACCTCCACCACCTCAAAGCAAAGAAACATAAAAATGTCTCTTCCTGCCCTTGGTGTATAAGATTCAGTGGAAATATGAAGGAAACTAGGATTAATGCAGAGGTAAGGTCAGGACTATGTGGTTAAATCACGGGTTGATGATTCATGTTTTCTTGAAAAGTTTAAGCTGTTGCCGCCTATTGCTTCTGGAAATAGTACTCTGGGCCCCTAAAAGACATGTGGCCATTGAACAATCCTAGAATCACAGAACCATTTAGGTTGGAAAAGACCTTTAAGATCATCAAGCCCAACTGTTAACCTAACACTGCCAGGTCCACCACTGCCAACCTAACACTGCCAGGTCCACCACTAAACCATGTCTGTAAGTGCCACATCTACAAGTCTTTTAAATACCTCCAGGGACGGTGACTCCACCACTGCCCTGGGCAGCCTGTTCCAGTGCTTGACAACCCTTTCAGTGAAGAAGTTTGTCCTCATGTCCAGTCTAAACCTCCCCTGAGGGCACAACTTGAGGCCATTTCCTCTTGTCCTATCGCTTGCTACTTGGGAGAAGAGACCGACCCCTCCCTCACTACACCCTCCTCTCAGGCAGTTGCAGAGAGCGATAAGGTCTCCCCTCAGCCTCCTCTTCCCCAGACTAAACACCCCCAGTTCCTTCAGCCACTCCCCAGACCTGTTCTCCAGACCCTTCACCAGCTTCACTGCCCTTCCCTGGACACGCTCCAGCACCTCCATGTCCTTATTGCAGTGAGGGGCCCAAAACTGGACCCAGCATTTGAGGGGCGGCCTCACCAGTGCCGCGTACAGGGGCACCATCACCTCCCTGCTCCTGCTGGCCACACCATGGCTGACACAGGCCAGGATGCCATTGGCCTTCTTGCCCACCTGGGCACACTGCCGGCTCCTGTTCAGCCGGCTGCCGACCAGCACCCCCAGGGCCTTTCCTGCTGGGCAGCTCTCCAGCCGCTCCTCCCCAGCGCTGCGCGGGGTTGTTGCACCCCCATGAAAAGCCAGCTCAGCCATATAACGTGCACTGACACCGTCTGGCCTTGAAGCGCGCAGCAGCATTTTCATTTTAGCACTGTGCTGGCTCCAGAAGGAGCTTGTGGGATCTCAAGACATGCTGCCTTACTGCCCAGTAATAGATGCACTTTAAGTCACTTGCTTCGGCACTGCTGGATGTTTTAGCTGTTTAGCATTGTCATAGGCTGAATCAATATCCAAAGGCCACTTCACAATAAAAGTGGATGCCACGCTGAAGGGAAGTGTGAGCAGCTTGCTTTACAGCTGAGGCCAGGAATGAGGGTGCCATGTGTCAAGAAAGAAGCGGGCTATGGGACTTGACTTAGTTAAAAAATGTTCATCTCGGTGCCAAGGAACAGGCTGGCTTCTCACGGGCTGGGACAGTAGATCTCAACAACTTTTTGCCTCTGCTGTGTTTCTGAAAGGGGAGAAATTGGCACAGCAACTTTTGGCAGCTGTGAGAGACTTGATCCTCAAGTATCCCAAAGGGAGAACTCTGATCTGCGACGATTGCACAAGCCCATGCTCTGGTTAAGGGAAGAAAACACTCAAGGGATGGTGCCACACATGGCACCAGTGATGGCAAATAGCCTCAGCAGAAAACTTAAAAACTATCTAAACAAAGAACATGTGAGACTTTCTTTGAATTTGACTGTGAAAATAGGTTTTATGTAAGTTTTAATCACAAGACATTTGGGGATCACTTTTTCAGGATAACGTGTAGCACTGTTCGGGCTTTCGCTGTGCTACACAAGGCCAGGGCCTCAGTGGTGTTAAAGTCACTTGGAAGACACTATTAACAGGATTAAGTGATCGGGCCTAAAGACTTGAATAAGCAGCTCCCTGGTAAGCTGGTAGATGATCTGTGCCACATGGCTTGAGCTGCTGCTCGTGACTTGGCTTTCTGAATTGTAATAAAAATGGTTGTGGGGGTCATTTCACCTGCTACTGTAAAGCCAGAGTAACTAGTGAGTTGGGGGAAGCTCTAGATCCTCAACAGGTCTAAGCATCCTTTAAGTCATGTTGGGCACCTAGTTTTGAAAACCTGGCTTAAAGAGATACTGGACAGAGAGTTTAGGAGACTCGGAGGATGTTTAACCATCAAGCAGCTGCCTGAAGAGAGCCCCCAGTTGTCTAGAAAAGAAAACCTTAGCGACGCTTACCATGAATTCCTATCATGTGCTCAAGAATTAATACCCTCTCCGCTAAAATCTTCAGAGCTTCTCGAAGTTGTTGAACACCTTCCCCCTGCAAGAAGGAAAAGAAAACTAACATTGGTTTATGTTGCAGAATAGGCTTCTTGTTCATAATGTTACCTCCGTTACGCCAAACTACCAAGTGTGAATGTTTGAAAAAAAGATGTAAAAAGGGAGATAAGCCAAGAGGTAAAAGTAGGAACACAGGAGAAATCCCTGTTTAAAGAAAAACTCCTCAGTAATACGCCATGTTTGCAGAGCCTCTGACCCAAAGCCAAGTCTTTTGGTTTGGTTCCTGCTTCTGCAGTGGGACAAACCCAGGGGGTACATTCCTGCCAAACCTTTGTAACGCGCAGCTTACGCTAACAGCTGTGCTGAACCACCTGGAGAACACGTTTTGCTCTCATCTGACATTTTCTCTGAACATCAGTGAGTTACCTGGGCTTCCTCTTTGTTGGGACACCAGGGAAGTGGGATGTGCGGTGAGCACCATCTTGTTGCTCCTTTATGAACTGGAGCAGTGGCCTGCAAGCCCATCCTGATGGGCTTCACACTGCCTCTCACAGAGCTCCTAGCTGGGCCATGTGCTGCCTGAAGCCTGTCCACGGGCTTTCATGTACACTCAGGCTGTAGTTTGTTGCCCCCATGGCCTCAGGTATGGGCTTGAAGGGACAGAGAGATGTTGGGAAGTATTTCAGTGTGGGAGAGTGGATACGTGAGAACTGCAACTCTCCCTCTGCACAGGCAGTTTGATCTCTTCTGGGAGTCTGTCCCTAAGCAGGTGGGAGGGCAGTTGGGGTTTAATTCCCTACCTTGTAGCAGCTCTGTGTAGCAGAACAACCACTGGGGATTGCAGAGGTGTTCAGGGAGCAACAGTGAGAAGGGCAGCTGACTGACAATGTGGCCAAGGAAAGCCCAAAGACCAGGATTTCTAGCATGTATTGAGATCAAACCCAAGGTTCAAATCATCTCTTGCTCCTCACTTTTAACTGTGGACAGGACCTTTGACCTCCACAAAGCAGCCCGACAAAGGGAATATGGTTGAAGCACAGTAAAGAGACAAAAAAGGAAGTAAAACAACAGTAGAAATACATGCTTACATCAGCACCTTTGTCACCTTCCTCACCCTTCTTGCCTGGTTCACCCTAAAACAGACAAGAAACAGAAATTTGTTTTCATGTGATTGAGGACCCTGTCCAGGCTCACTTGCATCCCTTCCCTCCAAAGGAACTAATTAAAAGCAGAAGGAAACAAACTGACACTCTGGCACTTCATGCCAAGGGCCAAAATGCTCTCATGAGCATTGTCCTGGCTCCCACCAGCTTCCCAGGAGGTCATCACCATTTCTAACATGGATAAACTTGGCCAGGAGTGGCCAAGCTGCAGGAGGGGCTGGCTACCACAGCCCACAACAAGACTATACACATCTCATGAAGATCTCAATGAGAAATGCTTTTATCTCACACTGAGATAAAACTACTGTTCCCCCCCCAAACATGCGCATGTTCACCTTTGATTTGGAACACAAAATCCTCCATTCTGCTTTCATTAATTAGTCACATCACTTTCTGCCTCTGAAGATGCTCATTAAGCTTTTCTTGAACAAAGATGCCTACATGCTGGTCTGATGTTCCCCCCTAACCAGGAAGTTCATGCATTTCTCAAAGGCCAGATGACATGGAGAGACTAAACCACAAGCTGAACATAGACCAAGGGAAAGGGCTAACAAACAGGTGAATAAAATCGAGTGGAAACGCCTGGGCTCCTCAAACTTGTTGGACATCCCCGAGATGCCTGCAAGCAGGGGTGGGTATGGGAGGAAGGACTGAAGAAAAGGTTGTATAAATTGTACAAAACGATGAGGTGGAATTAAGGAAGAGAGAAGAGAAACCTCCCAGAGGACCTAGGACCTCTCTGGATGCTGCCAGCCAAACAACCCCGACTTTCTTTGCTAACTCACTTTCAGCCAACCTTCGCCTCCACCGGTGCGTTTGCACCCCAGCCACGCGTGCCAGCGCAGACATCTCCTGTGTGCATCTGCTCACGTATTGCCAAGAAATCATTTGGAGACATCTCTTAATCTCACTAAAGGGTTTCCAGCTCAGCTTGGCAGACCAAGGTGCAAGAGGGAGCTGAGAGCAGCTGATGCGCTTTGAGTTTAACAGTGCCCGCCTTTGGGCTCTGGTAGTGCCAGGAACCTCACGGGGCAGGGAGGGGGCTTCTGTCTGCCAGGGTTTGGCTAGAGGGGATCTGCAAGCAGAGCACATCTCTGCTGGCATGACGCCTTCCTGATCATGGCACCTCAGCACCACACTTAACACGCAGGAAGACCCTGTTTCATCTGCAGAGGAACACATTAAGGTGAGGTTCCCTACTGAACACACGTCTAAGCTAGAGACAGTTGACCTAAGCATGTCCTGTGAGGGAGCTGGTCGAACCAGCGGCAGTCCAGCCAGGTGGTATTTACGGTGCCAAGCAGGCACCAGCCCCGTCTGAGTCCTGCACACACCCGCAAGTACATCACTTACAGGAAATCCCTTAATGCCCCTCTCTCCAGTCAGACCTGCTTGCCCCTGTTGGAAATAAAGTAAGTGTCATTAGGAGATACTTTTCCATTTGACAAGAACACAGTGTAATTTTTACTAGTGGAATTAAGATGGCTTAATGAAAAGTCTTACACTTGGGATAATATGAAAAAAAAAATTCCTCTCCCTTGACATTATCACTTAGAGACAGCAAAAGAGGGTCATGGTTTTCTGTCAAGTATCAGCTCCAAATCCCATCATGCCTTGGAGAAGTTTGGTTCGATACAGAGCTGCTCAGCTCAGTACCCTCTCACTAAGACGATTAGCAATTTTTTGAACTTTACAGCAGTCAGTTACATTATACCAAGAAGGAATTTGGCTGGAGATTTGTTTCTTACAAAGATACCGCATTCTTCTCTCTAGTAAAACTGATGGGCTGATGCTGCCCCAGACAGCAAACAGAGCCCAGGACTCCCACAGAGCACTCACTGATTTAATCTGCCTCCTGCTCCACACACACATCCCTGCGTTAACCCCAACAGCTACTGATCAAAACACACATACAATATTTTGGTTGGTTTGTTTCTTTTTCCTGCTGTGCTAATTTTCACATCGTCCTCAGTGGGGTTTTGTTTGCTTGGTTGGTTGGTTGGTTTTTTTTAAAAGAAACATTTTGAAATGGTACATGTTGGTTTGGGGTGGAATAAAATGCCATTGAACTGAGCATCTTTTTTCCCTCTGCAGTGTTGGTTCCCACCCTGGAGCAGGGCAGAATCCCTGACCAGGAGAACAGCTATAGATTATTTAATGAGAAAGCAGGAGCTTGGGAAGAGGAGGGAAAATTTAACAGCATCTTTAGAAATCCATTGACGAAACAGCCGCATATTTAACCTGACTCCTCTCCCCTAGACATTCACAGAAACAAACCCATCCTTTTTTTTCCCCAAAAAACTACCTAGCTGGCGGCAGCTTTTTGTAGTATTTGCCAGAAAGGGAGAGCTGCTTTGGTTTTGTGTCCATCAAACTGCTGCTGCTCTGTCTAGAACCAGTGGGCCTTGGGCATCTGCAGAACCCGCCTACGGAGAGCTGCGCAGCGCAGGGTGAGCCGCGAGCCAGCACTAGGCCATGGCCCGTATCGACACGAAGAGCGCGGGGGGGGAAGGCCCTGCTTGTCGGGTGCTCTGAGCACCTTCAAAGGGAAATACTTGGATTCTGCACTGGTGGGAGCGAGGCTTGTGAAAAAGCACAGGCAAGCGGCAAATCGGGGAGAGGAGACATAACAACGTGCTCAAAATACATAAACAGACTGTTCTCTATGGCCAGGGGGAACAGGAAAGGATGTTATCAGCTTAAAGGGGATCAAAGGATATTTAGGCTGGATGTTAGAAGTATCTTTTATCCCAGGCCCTCGCTAGCTGTACCTCTGAAGACTGCCTGGAGATGATGTGGTGTATCCCTCACTGGCACTGCTTAAGAGTAAGATGAACAGAGGCTGATCGTGAGCGGCACACATACAGACGTGCCATCCAGGGGATGTGCTCAGACTGCTTCAGGTCTCTTCTACATCTGTCCTCCCTGAGATTAAGCAGGAAGAATGTATAATAACATTTTCTCGAATCTCAGTAGATATTGTAAACCCTCCTCTGCTTTTCTTTGCAGCTGCACAGCTCCTCTGCTCTGTGTAAATCTAGCTCCAATTCGTATCCACCAAACCCAAAACTGCAGCATGTAGTTGTCAAAACCAGCGCTCAAATCCACATTCACAAAAGACAAAAAGCACACAGAACATCCTACAGAAATTCTGCCAGAGAAAGCAGTCGGCTTCGCTTTCCACGCTAACAGAGGAAGGGCAGGAAACAGAATTTATTTTTTCTATTCAGCAAGACATTCTGATACTTGAAAATCTCATTTGTCCCACAGCTGGAAGGAAAGTCACAATTCTGAGTATCTAACAAGGAGGGAACAAAATCAAAGTCTAAAGGACTTGTCTGTACTGAATGGATACTGTGCAACAAAGCTCTCATTTCAAAATAAGTCTAGACTCAGCAACATTGTCAACCACAAACTAAAGGAAAATGTTAAATGAACCACTGAGGAAGAGCTCTTATCGCCTTCCTAGATGGAAACTTGACACGTTGCCATATGCCATGCCTTTCTTTTTTTTTTTTTTTTTTTTTTTAAACTGAAAATTGGCATGTAATGTCGATGAGCTCTAGTTGGTAACCTGTGCTGAAATCTCACCAGTCAAGGTTTTGCTCTCTATCGGAGTCTTAAATTCTAGTCCCAGAAATGCACCAATCTCTAATCTATTAGTAAAGCCAACGTGTGCCCCAAGTGGTTCACCTGCACAAGGAAACTGTTGTTAAAAAAATTCTAACAGTCACTTAAAATGGTCTCTATCTTTCAGGGAGCTGCAAGTGATTTTCTTACCTAAGAACAAGGACCAAGCATTCAATGCGATATGCAAAGACACTAAAATAAAATGGAGCATTTTAAAAGCGTATGTGCTCCATCCTCAGACATCCCCTGCTCCTTGGCGTGAAGTGCCTCAGGAGGGGATGAAACAAGCCACCTGGACTTGCTCTCCTCACGTGCAGTCTGGACAGAGGAACAGAGTTTAACTCTGTTGCTGGGTATTCTCAGGAGTTTGGGAAGTCATCAGATTGGAGGTAACCAAGGTGCATTTGTCTGTCTTAGCTCTTTCAGACACCCCTCTGTCTTCTGAATTGGGAGACTGAGCAGAAATGAAGAAGAGGAGATGCTGTCATATCAGGGAAGCATGTCATCTACAGCCACCCATGGCCAGGTGATGACCTCCCCTTTCACCTCCATCTATGTGACAGTAAAAGCAGCACTTGGAAGGAAAGGGAACTTGTTTCCTGCAGCTGTGGCACAAGGCTGTGTCAATGTAGGCACCACCACAGATTTTACAGGTACCAACCAATGCTTTTCTCTATCTTTCTACCTTTCTTTGACTCTGCTCCACACTAGTGTCTTAAGTGATGGTCCACAGTGCATCTCTGCCCACGTGTACATTTTGCAGAGCTAATTGGTGGATGATCCTCCACCACGTGCTACATTCTCAAATGATTTTGTTCTCCTGGTATCTCTCAGAGGAGATTTCAAAGACCATGGCCTTTTGGAGAGGAAGCTGACCAGAAGGAGCTGAAGGCCCAAATGCCACTTTGAAGCCTTCCTGGTGCTTGAATGCGGGACTGGGAATCTGACGCATTTATATCCTTGTTAGATTTTTCTCTGGTATTTCCTAAACTTCACCAGTTTGGAAATAACATTCAAACAGTCCTTCTATCTGTGTTTAGTTATTGGCGCTTGACAACCCATCGAGGACAGAGGTATAGCTCATAAACACATTAAGAAAATATTTTCAATATTCTGAATATATTAAGAACATCATTGGACCTGGGGAACGGCTTTAGTTCAGGAAAAGTCTGATGAGCTTCTACTGCCTTAATTGCCACAGAAGGAAGATTTCAGATAGACCACCCAAAATATTCCACGCTAAAGAGCTTTGGTTGGCAGAAAAAAGTTTATATATAAAAGCCTTTATATACCCTGTATCCGCTACCTGAATCTCTTGAGGGAACACCACACTTCACTAGCAATTCAACCCTTTATCTGTACAGTAAACCGTCATCTTGGATCTCGCAGAAGACCTAGAAACTTTACATTTAATATTGTTCATGGCTGTAGTCCCACAGAATTTGAAAGACCTCTGTTGAATATAATTTCTGAGGCATCACCCCAGGTGTTGCTGGGAATCTCTCTGCATAATGTAAAACCGTACCCTCTCTCCTCGGTCTCCTTTGGAGCCTTTTGGCCCAGGTTGTCCTGGAGAGCCCGGTAAGCCCTAGAAGAGATGCAGAACGAGAAGGAATTAATTTCTACCGTGCATCCATTGCACAGGTGTAGTGAATGTATTTCCCAGTGATCTTCAGCTCCTGAAAACCTCATACACCCATTAAGCAACGGGGCTGGATTCTCCTTTACCCTCAAGCAGCAACAATGGAAGCTCTGATTACAGATATCCTGAGACCTACAGTTTCTGCATATGCCTTGTTTGGGTCTTTTAATGCACTGCAGGCTACTGATGTAACATTTTTTAAGAAGTCAGTATGACAGGATAGTTCTTGCTCTCAGCTACCAAGAAGAAATTAATACACAGATAGGATGGTTAGCTTAAAAATCCCCACTACTTTCCCCCTCTTCGTAATTGCCTCAGTGGGTGGCATCAGTAAGCATACATACCTGAAAATTAATTGGATTGTGCAGGGCAAATTATTTTGAAGCTATTTACTCACCCTAATAAACAATTTTCAAATTAAGCCAAATCTCTGCTAATAATTTTGCTCCCTGGGTTGAATAAATCTATAAAGCAGTCACCAATGGATAAGAAGGGCACAGTCTCCAGATTTCTACTAATTGAACTGCTTTGCAGAAATCGATCCAAATTCTTAACTTACCCACCCAGCGAAGCCACAGCTATAAACCAGGGAGAGAACAATATTTTTCGTTTAGCTCCCCACGACCATATGCAAGATGCTGTTTTCCACCTCAAGTGACTTGCACATCGCCTGAGAGACTGCAGCAGACGAGACACTCCAGACCGCTGGTGATTTAAGCCAACCTGCTTAACGACAGCCCCCAGAACCCCCCACCTCTCCGTGTCCAGAGGCATAGCTGTGAGAAGGCTCAGTGTCCGATGAAGAGGCCCAGCAAGACTGGGCATCAGTGTTTCAGCGGTCTAAAGGAGGAGCACTCTCCTGGTTCCAGCTGGGAGGCAGCGATGCTCACCATTAGCAGGTTGCTCCTTGCCTGCAGTCAGCCCTGCCAGCTCACCACCAAGCTGCACAGTGACCCGGCCTCCAGCTTAGCTACGTCTCCCCTGGGCCCACAAAAGGTTCAGGAGCTCAGGCCTGCTTTAGGAAGGTAACTAGGGCTGCCAAACGAGGTAGGGCACCAACCAGACTTGGCCCCATGTCAAACACAGAGCATGAACAAAGCTTAAGGGCCCATAAGCATCCTTTGCTCTTGACAGCTCTCCACAGTGACTTTCAGCGCATGATTACACAGGGACACTCAAGAACACTCAATTCCACAAATCTGTTGTTTAAAAAAATAATAATTTACAATGTGTGCTGCATGTGAAAAAGCCAGGCTCTACTACAGAACCTCTTTATGAATTGTGAATTACCTATTACCTTATATTTAATCACGTTAAACTGCATCTGTCATTTTGCTGCCAAATTTCCCACTGTGTTCATATCTGTCTGGAGTTTCTCATCGTTCTCCAGAGCATTCACTAATTGAAATGATTCTGCTACACTGGCAAACTTTCACTAACCTGCTGTCCATTGCTTCTTCAAACTGATTAATAAATACATTGCAAAAATCTCCTTTCTCCAATTTCTAGCAATTCCAAACTACTTCTTACCAGGATCTAAGCTCCATCCCTCCGGCTAAGTTACTTAACATTTCTCTCTCTCTGAGCTTTTCAGTCACTTTTATCTCTTTAGTCATGTTAGATTCCTTTGAAATATTTGATGTTACTAGTTTAGCCCCACATTAAGTAATACTCTTCTGAAAACTGGAGTCCCTTTGTATCAGCCAACCACAATTTTGGGTAGTCTGGCAGTCCACTATTCATCATGACTTCACTTCTTTCCATTTAACCAGCTTTTTCCACCCATGTGAGTACTTTGCCCTTCTCTGATCGTAAATTCTTCTGAATGAGTTTATCACACTCCATTATTACCTCCCCCCTCCACAATTTTTGTATCAATAAATAATCAAACTGATGGGAATTGGTGATTTTTTTTTTTCCGCAACTACAAAGTGCTCTTTCTCAAAAGCTAGGCATAACAAATTCACTTCGGTGAACTGGTGGATTCCCACTGATGCATTTTTTGTTCTTTTTATGTGTTCCACAGGAAACGCAGTATTTTTCTAGCACTGTGTCAGTAAAGCCCATGTCAAATCTTTTGCATCAACTCAGGCCACAGTGAAATGTTTTGACACAGCAGCAGCAAGACGTGCTGTTATGATTAAGGTAAATCTGGAAAGCGCAACTATTTCAACACAATTCAGATTGAAAAAAAAGTATGAAAATCACAGAATTTCATGGGGAACAAAATGTCAGATGTAAGACTTATAAACTACTCTCTCTCTGTGCAATTAGAAGATGTTTCACACCTAACGCCCCACTCTGCCCCTCAGCCCCAAAGCATGAAAGCGCCTTACTTGTGATCCAGGGACTCCGATAGGTCCTGGTGGCCCTTTGGGTCCTGATGCGCCTGGTGGCCCTGGTGGGAATCATCATTTGAGACAATTTTAAGGAGACTTAGAAGGAAGGACCCTAAATTCCAAATGCATGCACTTCCTTGCATTGTTCTGCTTCGTCTCTCAATGGGCAAGAGCTGTTCATCGATCCCAGGACTACAGCACAGGCGCTTCATCACACACTGGATTATTGGACACCCACATCCTGATATAATATATCCCTATGCCCTAGGGAAGGTGTTAGAGCTCTGGGAGGAAAAAAAAGGTGAAAATAGGCAGGAAGGAGGTCAGTAACATGCTGCATTTCCACTGTTTAAAGCGACAACTTTTGAGAAAACTTAAACTAGATCTATGAAACAGCTACATCAGAGCAAGATACTACAGTTGCTGTTTCAGAAACAGTCTCGTAGGTGGGAAGGGAAGGCCACAAGCCCGCTATGGTCTGTCTCTAGTGTTGTCAGAAAGTTGATGATGAACATGAAGGAGACGGGATTTGGACACAGCCAGCATGAGAGGCTGACTGTGGCAAAGCAGAGCTCTCTCTTGTTCTTTACTCACCCCAGTGGCAATAAATTCTTTTAAAGCCTGTACCACAGGAGAGCCTGCTTCCAGGACAAGTTAAACACTGCCTAAACATGTCAACTTGTTTTACTCAGTCACTTAACAGATTCATTCCTTTTGGAAAAATAATTATATCCCACCAGTAGCTGTTAAATTATACCTGCAAATGGGAGACAGGATATTTGCTTAGTCTGAACTTAGGAATACTCCTCTCTGCTTTAGTTGTCACAACTCTTGAGCTGAAACAATGTGGACATTATACACAAAGTACAGCTGAATCAGCCTCAATCATTAATGCACCACACAAATACTTAAGTCAAAGAATAAAGGAACTGAAGGATAATTGAAAGCCTTCATAATGAAAGTAAAAGCCTCTTCTGCAACTAATGGGAGTTCACTCCTAAATATGGATTATACAGGGAAGTGCTGATGTTTGCAGGAACACTATCATTTAAGCCACCCATCAGCACAGAGAAAAAGATGACTTGCCACTGAATTTTCATCCCAGATTCTGATTTCTGTTATACTGGTGAAAATCTGGAATAGCTCAAACCAGCTCCAAAGCCTGCAAACTCTGCATACACATGACAGAGCAGCTGGCCAGATCCTGCTCAGTGGAGCTCTACAGCGACAGGACAGGATTGCAGCAGCGGTGAGAACAACTCTGCTCTCATAAAGGAATTAACTGGACACCCCATTCTTAAAGACAGCCTTTAATTATTCCCTTCTCAAGACGTGTTCTGCCAAAGGTAAAACAGTCTGCCACTATTGACAGATAAGAAACCTGGTTACTTCTTGCCACCCTTCCCACTCCTGGACCCACTGCTCTACTGCCCCTCCAGTGAGGACCACTTGCTTTCCCTGCAGGCATCCCACAGACCACTCCACTCTCCATCAGAAACGTCCTTTGCTCGTCTTCGCCACCATTACAGCTTTGCCACTGAGTTCATTACCTGGTGGCCCAACAGGGCCTGGGGCTCCCCGTGGTCCTGGCAGGCCAGCCATGATGGTGTCTATGACGGTGGAGGCCAGCTGGGGTTCTCCATCTGTGTTGAAGAGCAGAGCAGTTAGTATCAAGCTGCCCAGTCCCAGCAGGCAGGACTTCTCTCTGCCTGCTGCTGGCCAGGGTCAGGCAGTGCCTCAGGATGCAAAATTTGGGCTCCTGGAACAATCGCCCTTTGCTTTCTAAGGGCACAGGCTGCATCCCCTAGAGCTGCCCATCTCACCTCTGATAACCCCAGAAAAGCTGACCTTTCTGTCAAAAAAATGGTGTTCCTGCACACCTATATAACCCCACCTTTGAACGCCAAAGCAGATTAAGAGCAGCTCTGCACTGTACAGCAGTAACTGACCCAAAATGTGCTGTCTCCAAGACACATCTGGCTTCTGGCTACCTGAGAAATCAAACATGGATCTGCAGCTGCCTCCTGTCTGGCATCAGCAAGCTGCTGAGCCAATCTGGCAGTCCAGCACAGCCCCAGCAAGCTCACCCTGGGTAAGGTGGTGGTGGAATATATTGGGAGGTCTAAGGATGCAGGAAAGCCCAGGGAGAGGGTGTGCTCTGCCCCTGCCACATACTCAGGAAACTCTCTTGCTGTTTAGGATGATTTTAGGTGTTCAACCAGCCAGCTTGGGCAGGTCCACTGAGTTCTGGGAAATGGATGGAAATGAGAGTGGAGCAGGAAAGGGAAAGACACCAACAGGAACTGAAGGAATGTTGTGTTTTTGCACATCTTTCTTAGTCCTCTCCTGCTATGAATAAAAATCAGCAGCCTGCAGCTGTCCCCATCTTCCCTCATCCTTGAGCCAACAGGCTTACCACTTCAGTTGGTAACTGAATAGAAAAGCCACAACCATACATAAAAACCCCTAACCCTTATTATTCACTGCAATTCCAAAACCGTATCTAACAACCCTGTTCCCTGTGGACCTGTACTGTAGCACACCAGTAATCTGGGGGGGTACCTGTATGGCAGCATTTTTCATCTGAGCATCCCACAACACTATTTGACTGTTGTGGAAACCTAGGGGCAAAAATTCTATGACCAACCAAGACAACAAGATCACAAAGCAAGGAAGGGAACCCCCATGTCCTGGCGCTACTAAGACTTGCAAACCACTGTCGTGACCAGTGCTGAAGGACCAACAATATATTTCCTGTTGCATTTAACCTGGATGAAGATGTTGGCTCCTGGCCGTTGGGACTGTAAACCCTCTGAAAAGTCCACATTTTCCATAGGCCACCATGCAGGAATAATGCCCACCTCCTCCTGCCCATGACCTCAAAGTTACTCATGTTTCCTTTCACCCATCCCTTGAACTCATCACTGTGATATTGAGGGGAACCCTTTACAGTAAAAGACTGCAAATGTCTCACTGCTGTATTGATGCAAATAATCAAGTGACACCAGGAAGATCAGAAGGGTGTTTGCTTACTCTGCAGGGTCCAGCCCAAAGGACATAAGGCAAAATCTCCAGAAACGTTAGCAGACACGTTATGAAGCCTTTTCAACTTCTGGAGCATTGGCAATGATAGAGAGGACTTTCAAGCTAGTTGTTTGAAAGCAGCTCCTAGGGAAAACTGTGAAATCTCTTTAACTGCCAAGGATGACAGTATATCTCTGCAATGCCTTCCTGGCAGCAGAACAGTGCAAGATGTAACCCAGATCCCTCCGAGAACTAAATTTTGTGCCTAAAGCCTGAATGCAAACAGGTATTTCTTTGACTATTGTTTCTAACCACATCCGTCTTCCCTTCTTCACAGCCCTGAAACAAAACAACTGAGACTGTTTTCATGTTCAGAAGGAAAGGTACCCAAGTGAAGTGTGTAATCCAATTAATTTGAGTTTTATTTGACTATGTCAAAATCCATCACGGCTTGGGAGTAAGATGGAATTGGGAAATGCGCATCGAACAGCAGTGAGGGCATTAACAATTGCAGAGCCTTTTGTTTTTAAAGAACAAGTGGTCAACAAAAGCAAATGCGCATCCACTGAGGGGGGAGAGGATGGGCTACAACCAACCAGGATTTAATTACTGCTGGAGGTAAGCCAGGGATAAAGATTTGGGTTACAAAACATTCCAGATAAAGGGTACATTATTACGATGACAGAGTTACTCCCACAAATCCACCCATCCTGACATTTGACTCAAAGTTATTTATGAAAGGTGATTCCATAATTGTGACACAGAAGAGAGCTCTGCTCAACAGCCCGTGAGCTCAGTAGCTCCTGATTTGGCCTCTGCAGCACTGGAGTATGGACATGCAGGACATCTAGAGTGGCTCCTTCCTCAGCTGCCTGGCCAGGCAGAGCTCACTCTGACCAAGGCTTCCTTCCAGGATGAGCTCTGCATGAAACATACTGTGAACAAAATGGGACTGAAGTGTGTTAAAACACAACCCTCGCAGTTGTTAAGGGACTCTCTCCATACTCCCATAAAGCAGCAGGAAGAACTCATACCTCTTTATAAACTCTGCTCTCCTTATAAACAGGGGGACATTCTGGGGCTCTCTGCAGCTGGGGACTGATATACCAGCCACAAAATAGTTCCAGCAACAAATGGTAGCAGGAATCTTCCCGTCTCAGCCACCTCCTATGCTGAGCCAGGCTCTGCAGGGCTCCAGGGCTGGATTTTCAGTGCTTCTGGATACACCAAAGCAGAAGGCAGACAGCTGTCTGCCCCATTTGAGAAGACCTTGATACACAATTTGCTCCAGGAGCTTTCCAACTCCAAGCCAAGCCAAGAGGAACAGCACAACCAGTCTGACCTGGGCAGATAGGAGCACCTACATTCTCTGGAAGACACCATGAACACCCTGCAAAGGGGAAACCTGGAACAGCACGGAAATGCCCTGAACGAGGCACTGAAACTTGCCCAGGCAGAGCGTCGAGGCATCTCAGAGGCACGGGCCCAAACAGCTTTGAAAGCAATTTCTAAATCAAGGGCCGTTCCCTCCCTGCTCTCCTTCCCCTTCGCTTCCCCTGCTCTGCACTCCCTCCCTCAGGAAGGGCCACGCAGGGCAGCAGGCGCTGGGTGTCACTTTGCAAATCTCTGCTCTACACTCTTGTTCACCAGTGACATGCTGGGTGCACAGGGAAGGCTGCCGTGCCTCCGTGTCCCCTGGCTCTCCCTGCAAAATAGATTAGTGCTATCTCACGTATCCTTTGCAGACTGGAATTGTGGAGATGCAAGAAAACAGCCTCAACAGAGTAAAAGGTGCATTCTTTTCTCTTTTCCCTAAAAATTGTCTTAGCTTTAGCACGATAAAGAGGGCTGAGCTGACTCTAGACCACATACCCAATTCGCTCATTTTTAAGGGGCAGAGAAAGCAAGCGATCCTTGCAGCAGCAGCCTCAGCAGTGGGGTATGGCATTTAGCTTCTGGCCTATGTCTAATGTTTCGAAGGGATAAATTCCCCCGTTATAGGCTTGATTTGTTGAGACAGGATGGAAATGAAGTAATTCTGTCTTAATTTCTTTCTGCTACCTGATCTGGAGGGAGGCAACTGGGACCAATTTCTTTACCACAGCAAAGTGAAACTGTGAGAAAATATTTGTCTCCCCATTTTTGGCTTCTGCTTGCTGATAAACATTGCCAACAGGAACTTGTTGTGATTAATCAAGGCACATGCATTAACCATGTTCAGGCAGAACCAAACACTGTACTACTACTAATAATCTGCTACAGCTTTCTCACATCTCCATGGTGCACATGCCTATTACCAGGAATATGCTTCCCTCTGCTGTCAGCAGCTGGAATCTTGTGTTTATAGTTTTCAGATGTGCTCTGTTCAAAATAAATAAATAATTAAAAAAAAAAAAATCTACCCAGAAGTTACAAGGCTATGTTTTCCTGGTTGCAGAGATCAGCTTTCCACCAACCTGTGGTAGGCAACATCAGCCAACACGTAAGCAAAATGACAAGTTTTGTAAGAAAACGGTCTTGATATCGCTGCAACTTTATCACGACCACATAGATAACTTGTACTTGCAGCGAGACTTGTATTAAGAAAAGTTTTTAAACCGAAAAAACCGGTCATAAAGTTTTGGGCTACTCCTGCACCACAGATACGGGGGAGAAGTACAGGGCTGCCCCTGGGATGTAACAGTCACCATTTACTCACAGTCCTCAAGTCCATGTGGGAGCCTGTTGCTGCCCAGTGTTGGCAGAGTTAATACAGATATTTATCCACTCATTTATCTCCTTCCCATTTTGGACCAAGAGAGAGTTCACCCTTCTCACACATCAGCTGGGAAGGCCACGTAATCGATGCCTTTATACGCTTCTTAATTGATCCACTACTTTGCAAGAAAGAGTTTAACTCAAAGGGTGGTTGGAGGGAGGGTGGCAGCAGCAGTACCCAAATCATCCTTAAGGATCCTTTGGAATAAAAGGCTGAATGGTGCCATTTGGTGTGATCCTGTAAGGCAGGGAGGTGACTGCAATGCAAAACTTTCTTGTTACAAGGCTCGTCAGCGCAGTGGCTCAATCTACATTTTGTGAAAAGTACTGAACCACATTTACTTTCATCCTGCCCATACGCTCTGAGTAACTGAATACGAAACCGAGCTGTTAAAATTCTTCCCAAATTAAAAATACATCTGTTCACTTCTGGGAAAAGGAGTCTGGAGAGGGGAGTGGGTGGAAGGGAAAGGAGAGCTCTAGAAAACTGTCAGACACAGGGAGACTTACTAATCCTTGGCTGTAAATACAACTGAGCTTTGAAGCTGGATGTGAGCAGAAAAGCTGGGAAGAGGCACAGCTAAATGTGAGAGGAGATGGGAGACCTGACAGAGCCGGTGCTCCAGGAGTTTAGAAGCCAAGTGGAGATGCAGCTGAGCTCTGCTTTCTCATTATTAGATGCCACCTACACAAGACTGGACCAGAAGAATCAAGCCCACATCTGAGAGCACTCAGATAAAAGCACATGATGTGCCTTTCCTAGAAATAGCCTTTTCCTGCCATGCACAGCACAAATCAAATAAATATACTTTTAAATCACCATAGGCTCCAAGAAACCCTGACCCTCCAGTTACAGGGAAGGGATAAATCACGGGCTTGGTCTGGGCTTTTAAGTTCACAATTCTGTGTTTTGTGTGTATGTGGGATAATGTTGTTGCACCAGAAATGCAGGTGGAAGATGCGTCTGCGGGGGCAGGAAGAGAGACACATTTAACAGACGTCCCTGTTACATCACACAATGTCCGAGCTGCAAACCTTCGGCACCCACTCATTGCTGAGCAGCCCTGAGCACCCTAACGCCACAACAGCGGCACCAAGAGGTCTCCCGGCAGCGCAGTTTCACTGCACCAGCACCGAATCGGCCCGGCTGCTGTACTTCTCTGCCTGCTTGCGTCTCATGTGATGCTGCTGGGCTCACTACAGACCTTCTTCACAGCAGCTACTCACGATGGAAGCTTAAAGGGCACCTCCTCAAAGCCATGACACACCCAGAAAACCAGGCACAGGGAACAACCATAAATCCCCCAAACCCTCTTCTCACTGATGGTTTTAGAAGAGCAGTGACTTAGTTCCTCATTTTGGAGAGGTGAACACCTCTAGCTCCTAAATCTTACGTGCTTCATCTTGAACGGGAGCTTCCAAGAGACCCACAGACTGTCTAGGTGCTCCCAGGGAAGGCAGGGCCCCAGCAGAGCCTGGCAAGGAAGTGGAAGGAAGAGCTGAGCTGCTCCACGCCTGCCCACTCTGCTGATGTACCAGAAAATGTGGGAATCAAGGAGGAAACTTACTTTCTTTTTCAGCTGTGGGCTGCAGTGAGTAGAGGACCCCTTGTTGGAAGGTAAGGGGGAGGCTCGGGGTGGCTGGTGGCCCTGGGGGACCCGGGGGACCTGGGATCCCGGTTTCTCCTGGAAGTCCTCTCGGTCCTTGAGGTCCCAACAGCCCTGTGCAGAGGCAGGAGAGGATGTGTTAGTGAGTTTGAAGATGCGCTAACGATGTTACCACGTAAAAAGGCAGTAAGAAAACAAAGGTTCTGTCCTGAATTGTAATTGTGGGAGTTAGGGGTGTGGGGCAAAATAGGAACAGCTTCCCAGTTTTCCATTATTTGCCTTTAGCATCTCCCTCTGCAAGGCAGACAGCCTTACTTGGCTCAAAGGTTGCGAAGCTTAATTCCTGAAAGAGTAGAATCTCCCCCCTCACTGAGGCTAAGCAAGAAACTAAAGGCAGCAAGGCTGCTCTTTTCCCCGCCACAGACACCTGTACGTCACCTTACTGCCAGGAAAGCACAGGAAGAACAACAGAAACCCAGTCAGCCCAGCAGCAGACCGATTCCGCTTCCTGGCAGGGCAGGAAGGCTCTCATGGCAAACCAAGAAACCAAAAGGCAGACACATCCTTGGCCAGACTTTAGCCATTGACAGGTTGCCAGAAAATGCCAAAAAGCATTCAGGGCCGCTCTCACCTTTAAGGCACACTCTAAGCTTCAAATCTTTCCTGAGTTCAGACTTACAAGGCACAGCCTTTTAGATGGATTCAAAGCACAGAGCCTGAGGTCTGGCACCTATTGTGTCTTTCGTCAAAAGATTTAGGAACATTTTGGGGATGAAGAAAGTCTCCTAGCTCAGGAATGGAGTGTACTCTGAAAGAACAGCCTCATAACCTTTTCCCTTAACATACAAAAGCATCATTCGTTTGACATCCTGGCATCTGACAGCTTGACACAAATGGTGGAGAAAAAAGGGAGTTAAAAGAGGCACACAGTGAGAGGGTTAAACAGGGAATGCTCTTACCCAAAGGGTGACAGATCAAAGACTGTTTTTTACAGCTCATGAGCAGGATGGGGAAACACGATCCTGCTCAGCAGCTTTTCGGGACAAGCTCTCTTCAGCTCCACGGGAAATCCCAGAGACGGTCATTGCTTGTGCAGGTGGCTGCCCGCCCTGAGAGCTGCTGGCTGATTCCAGCGCCCAGGGGACTCGCTGGAACGGATCCAATACCACCTGAAGATGCTCAACATCTTGCGCGTCCAGATAATTTGTAGAAAGTGAGGTATCTCCTATCATGGTAGCAGTGCCCTCCTCCGGGACTTACCTGGTGGCCCTGCCGGGCCTCTCTCACCGGGTTGTCCCTTCTCTCCTTTTGGCCCTGGTGGTCCTGGAAGACCAGTTGGTCCAACTGGGCCTGGAGGACCAACCTGTCCTGGCAGCCCTAGAAACATTCAGAAGGGAAATCAGCTGGAGGTCAGGACACTGCTGAGGTCAGAAGGTCTTTAGCAACCCAGAAACCAGAGAAAGACTCAAAGATGCAAGGGGGAAAAACGCAGCTTTGCACAGACAGGGTGGTACAGGTGGCAAGAGCTGGCTGACACGTAGGGCAGAAAAGCCAGGCTGGACCTTGCTTCTCTTCTTCCTCCAGTCTTTAAAGAAACAGGCATGTCCCCATGCACAAGGCCCACCCCAAAAAGCAGGATGTGTGCCTCCAGCTGGGATGTGCTGGTCAAAGCTAAATGGAGCCCACACCGTGCCCTTGCCAAGGTCTGAATGGCTCTGGGCAGATCTGGCTGGTCCCTCAAGCACTCCTTTGCTAGCTCTGTCCAGACACGCGTGTCAGCTCCATGGCAGTCCCAGTGTACCAAAATACACAAGATACATTTGCAAAAGTAAATCACACCCTGGCTCCCAATTGCTCTGGCTGATCTATACATACCACCCAGAGGTTCTGCATCAAAGATGTTTCCCTGTTTTCTCCTGTTTTCATTCATCTAACAAGTACACCATGCTGTGCACAAGCATTTTTCATCTCAAACTGAAATTCATGCACCCACACTTTCGAAGTAACTAGACGTTACTAATTTATATCAATGAATCGGGTGCTGAGCAAACCCATCTGGAAACACTGGTCACACAACAATTACAGCCCAGCAGGATGCTTCTTGGCAAGTCCACTCAGACCCCAAGTAAGCCTACAAAAGCTGCAGGCAGCGTCTGTAATCTGAAAGTGACTATTTCTGATGACATTAAATACAATCTTAATGTGTTTTTTCTTTAGACTACCAAAACAATAACAACACTTGGAATTTTATAGCGTTTTCAGAAAAACACTGTGCGTCTTTGGCTCACAAAAGTAGTAGCTGCTTTGGAAAGATACACTTAAATACTGTGCAATCAGTGAAGCCTTTAATACCTTAGAGAGGTGGATGAGTTAGTCTGTCTACTCAGATTAAGTGGTTAACGGTTACAATAAAGGCATTAACTGTCGGAGCCAAGAGAGTCAGAGGTTCCTGGTTTCTGGGCTACCAAAGGGCTTTGAGTATTTGAAAGCAGTGGCTACAAAGCCAGAGGAAGATGAGTCCAACATTCAGTGCACTCAGCTTTCACATTTTAGTCTGTATATTATACACAACCATAACTGAGCAGAGCGCAAGTTAAGTTTTGATAAACTCTTAAGCAGTGTCCTTCCCCTTCCCTGGTCTCAGAAGAGGCACTGGACCGTCCAAGAGTAGTGCCAGGAGAACCTGCTGTGTGTAGGGGGTGGAGAGGATTGGATAGGAATAGAGGGAGAGAAGGGAAAAAGGGAACAAGCTGGCCAGCTAACACCTCCACAGCTGGTACCAAAGGGAACAGGGCTACATAATAAAAACCAAGGCTCACAGGATTTGCAGCTCCTACATTTGGACCCGGTTCCCACTCTAGGTGTGGGACAGCCCACCTGGGGCACAAAACCTTGTCCCCTCAGACATTCATCCAAACTCTCTGCATTTCTTAGAACAAAGCGATAATCCCCCTTGAAGGTCTCCCCTTCCCGTCTTCTTTTTTTGCCGTTCTGGAGAGATGTCCAAATTATTTTGTCTTACAAAAATGAACTCTATCCATCTCTAATCCACGGTGAAGCTGGGCAGACTGGAAAAATGAGATTTTTCAAAGGCTTTGTGTGGGAGTGCGTGCCTGTGCTTTTGTTTTATTCAGTCACCAATAAAGATCTGATTTAACTTGAGTACTGAACAAGGCATTAAGGTAAGGTTTTAATTCAGATCCATTTCCTTACCCATGGGACACAAACTGCAGGCTTGTCTGTGAATAGAGGGGGCTCCTTTGATGGGTCTCCCCTGCCAGTGGATGCTGTACTCGGCAAGCTCAGGCAGGTCATCAGGAGCCCATTTAGGAGAGCAAGAGCATTCCTTCACAGCTTCTCCCCCCTCCCAAAAAACCCCAACACACCTCAAACTGTATTGCAGCAAATCCTTTCCAGCACCGAGGGAAGAACAGCAGAAACGCTGTTTTGCAAACACAACACACCGTGCTGCGGAGTGGGGGTCAAAACATTTCCTCGCTTGTCTAAATCAGCCTCCATCCTTCAGCTCAACCTTTATAACTCAATCCTGCGAACTTCTGCCGGCCAAGAGCAATCAGTTGCTGCGAGCGTCCTCAATCACGCTGCGGCGGTGGAGCTTTAAAGAAACTGGCACTTACTTCCCTGAAGGTGGAAAGCGCTAAAGGAAAGACTAGGAGAAGCAGCACTGAGTAATGTGTCAGGCAAATGCTCATACTGGTGACAAATGGTGTTACCAGCATAAAAGAGACAAGTGCAAAAAGGAGAAGAAAGAGGGAAGGATTCAGGGAAAAAGGGGGAGGGAAATGAATAGGCCAAATCTTCAGCTGGCATAAATCAGCTCTGCTGCAGTGGCATTGCTTTCAGAGCTGAAGCCCACGGCGAGTATTTATCCTCCAAAAACACGAAAGAAAAAGCCATGGGGAAAAATAAAAATGAAAAAAAAAGGCAGAGGGTGAATATTCTACTGCTGGAGACCAAATCAGATGTGCAGAGACCTGGGTTTTCTTCCTGGCCCTGTCATTAACCTGTCATCAACACACCATCTGTTCCCCTTCCTCCCCCAAGGTTTTCTCTGTACAGGAGCAGGGTATCTCTGTTCGTATGGAGCTTGGCAAAACAATGCCCAGACACCACCAACAGCAACGAGATAATAACGGTGTTTTCTGCCATCACTCAGCACGTGCCCTGCTCGCTCGAGCCCCGTGTCCTCCAGTGAACCGCCTCTCCATCGGGCAGTGCTTTCTGTCCTTTGGGTGCTGGGGGAACAGAACGTCTCAAAAGACGATAAAGCTGGCATTTTGCCTCTCTAACCAGAGCAGCCCATGATCAGGTAAAACCCAAAGAAGAAACCCAGCCTCTCTGTAGCTGTGAGGCTCCGAATCACTGAGGACTCCTGGCCACAGGACCCTTCTGCTTTGTGGGACGTATCACGTACAGGACTGGGCATAGCAACATCCTTTGAAAGAGGAAATACTAGAAACCACTGACTTACCCTGTGGTATCAGCTGCTCCTCTGCACCTCTGTGTCCTTTAGGCTCTAGTTAAGAGGGTTAGGGTGGGAAAAAAACAAAAGAAAAAAAAAAAGGGAAAAGATATGAAAAATTAGGTCTCCTGCTGCCAGCTGGCTCAGTCAGAGTATATATATTTTCTTAATACTCAGTAAAATGTATCCTGTTGATTAACAAGCTGATCAGAAAGGCCAGCGGAGCAGCTGTCTCAACAGCTCTGATTGCTTTTAAATGATTGTCTGTTCTCAGCCCTGTCACTCACAGAAGAAATAACTCCCCTAATAAACAGTAGCAAGTTTTCCTGGACTTCAGCCTGGAGAGGTGTCAGCCAACCCAGAGCTATAAGGCCATCCAGAAACACTCCCATCATTCAAAGCATCTAGTCCGTATCGACCACCTTTGCGTTAGGCACCAACATTCTGCCCTTAGTCCATCTGCCTGAGAAACTTGGTGGCACACAAGCTAGGAGTTGGAGAGCTGGATTTGCTTTGGCTGAAAAACAAGAAGCAGGGCAAAGGAGGCAGTATTTCACAAAAAACTCTGGGGAAGGGGACGGGAGGGACAGAGGCTTTGCCTTCCACAATCCCAAACCACACAGGACGCTCAGGTTTGACTTCCAGCTACTCTAATATCACGCTGACTGAAAGATCTCCTGAGGTCTGCAATCTCTGTAAGTGAACCCAGCGCCAGCTTTGAGCAACAAGGTGTTGAAATCATGCAAAACAGGCAATCCCCCACCACCCTAAACCAACGCCATGAAATTCCCTACATTTCACCAAAATCCACACTGTGTTTCTTTGGCTGGCTTTGAATTGTAGGTAGAAACCGGTGTGGGCAGGGAAGGAAGCCAAATGTGGGCTCAGATCCATGAAACATCCCGACAGCTCCTTAGCAAAGCAAGCATCTGAAGCCCACAGCGCTCAGGCAGGGGCTCAAGCAGGCAATCCCGTGTCAATAAGCGACTTCACTGGTTACTTCCAACTGCTGAAAGCGCTGCCCTGCCCTGAAACGGCCCAGTGCATGCCTGATTCCCAGTTACCATGCTAGACTCGTTATTCCCCACTAGGCCAGAAAAACACAGGGTAGCAGCGAGCAAGGACCACAGGTGGCAGCACGTAGGCAGGGCTGCAACACGTGCAGCCGGCTTGTGCCCAGCCTGCAAGTCTGGCTGAAAAGACAGACTCGCACAGAGCGCGGACATCACCGTCTTCTGGAGGTGATCACTAGCTACCTCCTGGATTTACTGCAGGGCTGGAGGGTGCTGAGACTGGACCCTGGAGCCAGCCTGATGCAAGTGCACAGGAGATCCGACCTGGTTTGCGTTACTGCCTGGGCAAGTGGCACTCCCTGCTCCTTGCTGAGCAAGAGGAGATTATCCTGTATACAGAGCCTCCAAGAGGAGAAGACTTCGAGTAGAAGGGACAGAGGTTTTTTGCTGGATTGACTTTAGTACAATGAAGTGCAGGTGCAGAGATACTGCGACAGCAAAAATAAATGACAGGGAGAAGGCAGAACGAGCATATCATGGACACTGGAGGAAACTGCTTTAATTCAGTTCCTGGCAGCCGTCACTGTGGTTCTGAAAATACTTTGCAGAACATATTGTCAGCGAACCTCCCTCCATGTTGTGGCATTCTGTCAAATTACAAACATGGACGACATCTGGTCTACGTTGGTTACTCCAAGGCCGCTGCAGTCCTGAAGGGCTGCCATAACAAACTGCTCGGACCGAAAAAAAAAAAAATAAAAAGGGAAAGAAAAAAAGGAGATAAGGCAAAGTAGGCCCTATAGAGGATAACGAATTAAAGAATTGCTCTGGGAGCAAGCAAAGCAACTGACAGACAGGGCTTTGGAAGCAGAGTGGGAATCTTGAAATGAGAATGCCAAGGTCAAGGAAATTCAATGCGCAGGGAACTGTCTAGCCAAGTGGGCTCAGAGGGAGATTTTCTTGTAAGTGTGGTTTTTTTTCACGCCACAAGAGGGATCATAAAACAGCCCATTGTGTTTATGGTAAATTTAAAAAATATAATGCAGGCTGCAACTGATGTTGCTATTCATGGGAAAGTTTCTCCTCCTAATAAAACCAAGAATTACCCCTACACCCCCGTCCTCCACCTCCCCGCACCGCTCCCAGACAGGGAAACACGGCATTCGGTGCTCAGCAGGTGAGTATGAATTGTCCCCCTGTGATCCTGATGGCTCTCTGGAGTTTCCTCAGGAATGTTTCAATCTAGCCAGGCCTCAAAATCCACAGTCTTTGGATTTAAAACATGTACACTGAAATACACAGGCAGGCACAGTGGCCCTACTGAGGTTAGCAGAAATCTAACTTAGCTGAGACCCGAATTCAGCTCTCAGGAGATGCTTGTGCCAACAGAAATCGAGGCCAGCAATGGGCCATTAAGGCTTGCAAGTAAGTTTCTGAGCTTAGCCACCTTCTTCTAGGAACATGCCTGCTCTGTGTTGGTTTAACTCAAGGAGGAGCAGAGACATGGAGAGAAAAGCTGAAAGTCCCTCTTTTTGCAAAGGGGTGACCCTCTTCCCTGCACGGGCAGTGGGAAGGGGCCCTGAGGACACTGAGCCTGGCTTACTGCAGCTAAAAGGATGGTTTGAGATGGGATCAGAGCAGACTGAATTCATTCCTCATCCATGAGTCCGCATGGGCGTTGGTGTGCAACCATCACTGCATCCACAGCTCAGCAGAGAGGGAGGGACAAGAGGCAGCATTAAACCTTTAGGCTGAACAGCCCCTGGTTTGGAGGAATCCTGTCTCCAGAGCTAAAAATGCTGATCCTGACCCTAAAAGAGAGGCTGAAAGCTCTAAAAACGCCTCTCTGCAGGGTAGTTTTCCTGCTTTTCCTGCTGAGCACAATCCCACCTTGCAGTGAGCACCTGCAAAAACCAAAGCGATGGTGGCCCTGCTGAGGGTGCAAAGCCGCGGAGCCACTCGTGCCAGGGAGGCTGCCTGCCCTGCGCTCATCACGCAGCACCATGCCGCCGGAGCGCGGCCGCTCCCATCGACGGCTCCCTGCTGGATCACGCACACGGCAGCAAACATGCCCACAAAAAATGAGAGGAACTGCCCCCCTGAAAATCTTACAGAGCAGAGGGAAGGTGCTGCCAGTGTTTCCCCCCAACCCCTCTCTCCCCTGCAGCTTCCAGTACTACAGCAGACCGGCACAGCCTCCTTTTTGGTTACCCTAGAGGAATCGTGTATGTAGGGTGGGCAGCTCAGGCTTACCAACAGATCCCACTGTTTTTCTTCTCAGGACAGTCCCAGGATTCAGCAGGGGAAAGGCATCTGGTAGCAAATCATCGTACCACGTGGCTGTCGTCCCAGTGATTGGCAGGTTGTTTTCCAAGGGTGGGCTTCGCTCCGCAGCCTCAAGCAGAAGGATCTAGACAGGGGACATGGAGAAGGCGAACAAGGTCAGCGGGACAGTTTCACGCATGGTCTCAATCCTGAAGAGGCCTTGGAACTCCTCTCCTTGCCAGCAGGAGCTGTGAATAACTCTGCATCACAGACTGCAGGGTTTTGGTGTTAAAGCTCTGTTGGTTTTCTGGGAAGTGGCAGTAATCAGTGTAGGAAGCTGCTGTGTTAAGATGCAAGAGGGTCCCACATATGTCCTCCTTGGAGAGGGCTTCACTGCTTCCAGAGAAACTCAGCCTCACATGGGATTGTCTCCCTCACAAGAAGCATGGAACCAGGGACTAGAGCTGGCGTTAGGGCACACAGCACTTCACTGCTAGGTTACGTGTTCAAATCCAGAGTCCTAAGGTCGGAAATTACCGAGAGCTGGTACCAGGGGAAGAGCTGTACCCTGGATGCCCAGGGTAGCAAACTGAGGTGCCTCAGGACAAGGACTGGTTGCAAGTCAAAGCACAAATGCTGACCAAATTAAAGATGATGGAGAATATGAAGCCTTTAAAGAGCTGAAATGCTTTAATTTTGGAGCGAATAAAAACAGGCAGGCAATTTCCTCAAAAAGCTCTATTTAGAAGTAACAGGATATTACTAAAACTCACAACTGTTTCTATACCTTGTAAACACATCACCGTCAAATAAACCCACATCCCAATGTGCATCCCTGAGCTATCTGGGCCATTTCCAACTGAAGCTCCTCAGCAAAGTGACCCCGTTTTCCCTTATGAATTAGACTGCTGCTCATCAGCCCGCGCTCCCCTGGCCACCGACGGCCCACAGGAAACTGGACGTTGACCTGTAACATGGCTGCAAGAAAACTGAATGCCCACAAGAAGCAGAGGGCTGTAGGACCCCCACGGACTCTGCCCACTGACAAACACCATTAAAGTGAAGCCCAGGGGAACACTCATTGCACTTCGAAATCAACATTTTAAATGAAAACGTCCACAAAATTAGGATTTAAAAAATAACAATAATAATCCTATTTTAGTCTAAATGTTTCATCCCCCTGCCTTTCCAGCCACTAAGCAAGGGCGGCATCACAACGCAGCGTACAGATTTCTTTTGACAAGCCTAACCCATGGGGAGCACTGACCCGGCGTGCCAAGCCCACGTGCTCTGCTGCGAACGGATTCCACCCCAGCAGCACGACAGAAGCTGAAGAGAGGCCAAGGGCAGCACCCGCTTTCCCGGTGGGACAAGCCAAAGGGACGGCAGCCCCCGCGTTAGCCATGCCCGGGATGCAGCAGCAACCCTGCCACTCACCTGGCTGCTGGGCAAAGTCACCTGCCCAGGATGGATGCAGGAGCAGGGCTGAGGTTTCCAGAACAAGAGTTTTGATCCAAGCATCCAGCATCTCCAGCAAAGTCTGCTTTCTAAGCACAAAGCTACACGGAAAAATTGTTCAAGGAGCGCAACACTGTGGTCTGTTACAGCACTGTCTTTTCCTGTTTGGAAACCGCCTAAGCAAATACTGATTTAGGGATAAGGGAAATAAAAGAGAATACAGCTCCAAGTTTCCACTAAATCCCTAGAAGTTTCAGCTTTTACATGCGGTGTTGTCTTTACATAATGAAGTCACACTGCAATTATAAATGAGAGTGACTTGGCTCCGCTTGTTTGCTTTTAACTTGCAATTATTACAAGGTTTATCACTTATTTATTGCAAAGCATGGCGAGAGCCAGGGTGCAGCAGTGCCAGAAATGATGAACTTCCTGCAGAATGTACTGGCCTGACAGGGGTGAATCAGAAACTAATTAAACTGGGAGCTGGGTTAAGTGCGAGGGAACTGAACCTCAGCTGTTGCAAACCAGCAAAATTCTTCCTTTATTGCAAGAATCTTTATTCACGGATCCAGAATCTTGCTTTCCGAGTA